ATGCTTTTCCCTCTATCTGCAATGCTTTTCCTTTTGGATAGCAGGGAAAATTCTGTTCATATTCAAAAGCAAGTACAGACCTCCACCGTGCTACAGAATTAATCACTAATTCCTCTGAACTACACTTTTTAGGTACTATAATTCTCTTGTGGTTTGGGACTTTATAAAATAATTCTCACATTTGTGTTTACTACCATGTGTATACTTATGGAAATTAGGAAGTATTTTACACCTGGTAGAGGGTTTTTGTATGGAATTGATAGGGATAACAATAGAAGCCCTTCCTTGTTGGCCCAACACCCCCGTGTCACTTTATGCCCATTGTTTCCACTGACTCCTTACTGGACTATGGGACGTTGGGGTTTGGGGGAAGGATATGGTCCTAGACTGAACCAGGAGGATCCATTCCTAGTTGTAGCCAGGTGTTTGGCAGCATGCTTGGTGTTGCCATGGCAAAGCTAGCACCTGTGATACAGGGGAATGTCATGCCCATGAAGAACCTGGGAGCTTGGAAGTAGACCTCTGTAACTTCCCTTGGTTCTTTGCTGTTGGAGAATTCTTGGGCTGGCTGTATACAAGTTGAGGACTGGATGTCCTCGTGAGAGTAAGCAAGCAGGAGGCGTGACTATGGCATGCAGACCCTTCTGCTTCCTAAGGGCTGCTTATCCTCAGCTATGTCCACAGATACTCTGTTTATCTCTGCTCTGCAAGTAGTCTCACTACTCTCTAGTTTCACTACCTTCTGTGTACTGTGTGTATACGTTCCGTGTATATATTTCATGGGGGCCATCAACCCAAATTGGGAAAGATATTCCCATCTTTATTTTTGTTAACCTCCTACTGAAATGTAACAGTTTAATGATTAGTAAAACTAGCCACAGTAGAATTAGTAGGCTTAGAAACACCTATCGCCTTGTCACTAAAATAAATGTCATTTTCACATCCCAGTATTCTTAGAGCTGTCTCAAAATTTTATCAAAACCTCAAACTTATAGTTATTAGACTACCACTGTAAATTTTTACTTTTATAAGTCAGCTTCATTAAGGTATAGTCAACATAAAGAGTCACAAATTTTAGTGTATAATTCTTTGCCTTTTGACAAATACATATAGTTATATAATGAACTCTACAATGCCATGATTTGTGTGTGGTAGTTATTAGACCCGTCAGTATTCTGGGCATTGAATCTAATTGTAAAGAAGCACATATACTACCATATTATACATTTGGTTTTTAAAATATTTTGTGATGATTTCAATTTGCTTGATTTCATTTGTAATCCTATGTATTTTATGTTAAATACTTAAATGTATTATTCTGAAAGGGTCCATAGGATTCACCAGACTAAGTTTCTCCATGACACAAAGATTAAGAGCTTCTATCACTGTCCATCTTCCCACCACTATCTTAGGGTATGGTAGAATACAGGCACCTTGTAAGCCTTTAAGGTCTAGTTGGCTAGTCACTGACGAGGTCAGAAAGTGGCAATATGGTGACAAGTTTGCAGTTTGTTCTCCTTGATTTATTTTAGCCTCATTGCATTTTATAAAACAGTTAGGGGAGGAAGGGATTGGATAGGAATTGAGAGAGGTCACATGGTATGATTTGCCTCAGTAGAAAACTTCCAGACAGAACCCCCTGATGAATGTAACAAATGGACTTAGAAAAAACTCCACAAATCTAATTTTAAAACTATATCTTTAGAGCATTGAAGAAAAATATTGAAAGCAATGACTTTGCCACAAAAGGCATATAACAGAGTTTGGAAGAAGATAATCCTGAAAAATCTGATATCTCCTAACCCTTTAGTTGTTAGATACTTGTTATGTAGCCTTAGAGAATAATATTGTGGCAGTTCACCAAATACAGGTGAACTCCCTTGTGCCACCCCCTGCCACAGTTCATTTGTGTGAAGGATGTACTGTCTACGCCAGGCTCCATTACCTCCTGACATGCTTCTGTGACCAAAGTGAAGGAGTCTAACCTGGAAATGCTGGGAACAGATAACTTCATAATATCTTTATTGTTTACATTTAATTTCTTTTTAGTAAAATTTTTTAGAATTTCAGTTAAAGTATATTCTTATTTCTTTATTTGCTTTAGAAGGTCATATTTACGTTACCTCTGATGTATTTTTCAGTAAATATGCAATTATGGAAAAAATTTCTTTGACTCTTGTATCCTTTTCTGGTGACGTTTCTTTTACTTTTTTATTTTAAAAGTTTTTATATTATCCACTTTGGGACTTGAGACAGCTGGTTTATTTATTTTTTCATATGTATATGAAGCTGGTTTTTTATTTTTTTAGTTTTTATTGGAGTATATTTGCTTTACAATGTTGTGTTAGTTTCTGCTGTACAGCAAAGTGAATCAGTTATATGTATACATACTGACATATCCCCTCTTTTTTAGATTTCCTTCCCATTTAGGTCATCACAGAGCATTGAGTAGAGTTCCCTGTGCTATACAGTAGGTTCTCATTATTTATCTATTTTATACATAGTAGTGTATATATGAGACAGCTGGTTTAAAATCACAACAAAAGAACAGGTTGAATAGAAATTAAAGGAGGAGGTGTAGCAATTTGAGAAGATATATCTGGTGCTAGATAGGGATTAGCAAACTTTGTAAAGGGCCAGATAATCTTTTAAGCTTTGTGGGCCACTTTCTGTTGACACTACGCAATTCTGCTGTTGTAGCATGAAAGCAAAAATAGACAACTTCTAAACAAATGAGTATCACTGTGTTCCAAAATCTTTATGGACACTGACATTTGAATTTCATGTAATTTCCATGTCATGAAATACTACTTTGAATTTTAGCTCAACCATTCTTAGCTCATGGACCATACTAAACAGTGGGCTTGTACTTACAAATGGAATTTGTACTAAAAAGAATTTTTACTATTCTGTACTGTTAACTTTGTACTATTACAGTTTGTACCATTAAAGAGAAATTAAGAAAACAATCCCACTGTCCTTGTGTCTTGGCATCCTTGTACCTTTCCACATAGGCCATGCAAGCAAAGGCTATTCTGAGTTTTGGCGGGATGCTTTGTATTCCTCCTAGATCAAGAGACGATGAGAGGCTTGTAAGGAATCGTTATAGGACCTTTTGTCACTTCCTTCTCTCCTCTGGGAGGTTGTCGTGAGACAGTTCCTCATTGTCTCTGGATTCTGATGAGTTCTGAGGCTTTCTGCCTTGCCCCCTCCCCACCCCTTTCCCCCCTCCAAAATAAAACTTCAGAATATAAAACCACTTAGCTACAGGCTAGAACTGACTCCTCAGCATCGAAATACTCCACAACTTGCACTGCAGGCATTCAGCCTCTCTTTCTTTGGTCTCATCCTTTTTGGAGTGTGGAACAGGGATTTGGCACGTCTTTCACCGTCTCTGTAAATAATAAACTGTCTGAATCTAGAAGTGGATTGTTTTATCTTTACCAGCAGAATCAGTCGGGTCTCACCCTGTCTTACGAGTGTGTGACAGTGCCCTGCTACTCACCTTCATCCAGGTCAGTCCTTTGACTCTTAAGAATTTGCATTTTGGGGGAAGAGCAGAGAAGGTTTAATCAACTCATTTATGATCTTGACAAACAGAACTGCAAAGCAAGAATGTCTTATCAATTCCATGAGTAATTAATTACTCAGTGCCTACTCTGTGCTGGGTATTGAGATACCCCAGTGAAGGGCTTTAGTTATAGTACTCTCTATAAACCTTCTGTGAACGAGTGGGGTAAAGGGAACACTCCCTTTTTGGGAATTGCTGATAATAAACCAGTCATACAGCTGTGGTATTCTCACATACATCTGTATATGGCTGGAATTGATATGTATCCCTGGAGGCCAGCAGGAAACTTATTCATCAGATGGTGAATGGAGACCAGAATTATAAGACTGCTGGCCCTCAGAGCTGCCAAGCCATTTGCCATGATGGAGGCGTTAAGAAGCCTTTTCCCTTTGCCCCTTTTCATTTTACCATGTTTGACAAATGAATTTGACTGAGGCTGAGGGAAAAAAAAATTTAACCAGCGTTTCAAATGAAATCAGTTAAGTTCTCCTTTCAAAAGGCCACAGCCAGAAATTTTAAAATTAAATTATCCACTGCTGGACATAATATGGAGAAACATTTGCTGTTATATACACTCTTAAGTGGAAGATTATGTTAGTACCACATTTCTTCAGAGCAGTTCGACACTATATAAATATGTGGAACTTGACCTGGTAATTCTAGTTCTAAGAATTTATGAAATAATCAGATATATGCATAAACTTGTGTATCAAAGTGTTAATTATGGCATGCTTATTATTGTAAAATATTAAAGAGAACACACGTTTGTAAACCCATATAACCCATACAAAGGATTACTCCAAAGTTAATTCTTTTTTTTTTTTTTTTTTTTTTTGCGGTACGCGGGCCTCTCACTGCTGTGGCCTCTCCCGCTGCGGAGCACAGGCTCCGGACGCGCAGGTTCAGCGGCCATGGCTCACGGGCCCAGCCGCTCCACGGCATGTGGGATCCTCCCGGACCGGGGCATGAACCCGTGTCCCCTGCATCAGCAGGCGGACTCCCAACCACTGTGCCACCAGGGAAGCCCCAAAGTTAATTCTTTAATTGAGGCATATTTATAGGAAAGATACCCATGATTTTATATATATATATGTGAAGTTGTTAACAGCTATTTTCCATAAGTAGATTGGATTATGGAATTTTTTTCTTTTAATTTTCTTTGCTTTCTTATTTTTCTGTAACAGACATGTATTGCTCTTATGATAAGAGTTGATTTTAAGTAAGTAAATAATTTAAAAGCCCTTATCTTCAAGGCATTACCCTTCAGCCAAAAATAAGAAGGAAAAATAAAATGGGGGGACTTCCCTGGTGGTCCAGTAGATAAGATTCCATGTCTCCAAGGCAGGGGGCACGGGTTTGATCCCTGGTCGGGGAACTAGGATCCCACATGCCGCGTGGTGTGGCCCCAAAATAAAAATAAAAGAAAATGATTGTTTTTTTATATGTGTTGATTACAAATCACAAGTTAGGTTTCATTACAGATTTTTTTTAAATGCAGTTAAAGAATCTTCTAGTAAATTCATCTTTTCTTCTTTTTTTTTTTTTTTTCCCTTTGGTTGTGCGGCATGTGGGATCTTAACCACTGGACCGCCGGGGAAGTCCCAAACTCATCTTTCTTTACATAGAGAAATCATAAATGCTTTTCTCCCCAAGGGCTCTAGGAAGGAGAAATCAGTTTTGGTGGCTTACTTTGTGAGGACATAAGTACACTTCAACATTAGCTGCGTGGTTGTTAGGCTGCGCCCTCCAGACCTGCAGACCTTGTAATTGCCCAGCCGAGAGACTGAAGAAAAAGCCCGGAGACAGTGACACAGAGACATTAATGGTTTATTGGATAGGGAGTCTTACAAGTCTTACAATTCAGTAGATGTGAAAATTGATGACCAGAGAAGTCACTTAAGACACAGTTACATAGTAATGAAAAGTGGAAGAGGAATCAAATCTTAGCACTCTTGGCTCCAGAGTCCATGTTCTTAAACATAGATCAGTGGTTCTTTAAATAAGCTTGCATTCCAGTGAGCTAGAGGGCTTGATGAAACACAGATGGCTTACTCTGTGTAACTACAGATGGCTGGGTCCCACTTCAGAGTTTCTGACTCAGAAGTTCTGAGCTGAGGCCTGAGAATTTGCATGTCTAACAAGTTCCAGATACGGCTCCTGATGCTGCTGGCCTCAGGCACACTTTGAGAACCACTATATTATTATCTTAATTAAATGTTATTGAAGTGGCCTCCATTTGACTCTCAAACTAGGAAATAAAAGAGAAGAGGGGCTTCCAAATATTCTGGAATGGTGATGTTATTAGGGTCAATACAAAATATTTTTGCTGTTTTAAGTAGAGGAGAGAGATCAGAGCATGGGAAGAACAAGGGAAGAGGAAATTGACATTTAGCATTTACTGGGCACCTCTTGTGTGCCAGGCCTGTGCCAGGTGCTTCATGTTCAGAATATCATCATGCCATAGTATGAAGTAGGCTGTGATATCCGCATTTTACAGACTAGAAAACTGAAGTCGAGTGATGTTAAGTCACTTAGCTAAAGTTATAGAGTGACTAAGGTAGGATAAGAATTCAGGTTTGTCTACGCTTGTGGTTTTTCCTCAAAACCACCTTGGAAATGTGTGTTTGGAGGGCATTTGGAGAGACCCTGTCAGAATGAGCAGAAAACTAAAATTCTGGGTTAATTGTCTAATACGTGGCATGGAACTATCTTTAAGAATGTGAAAGTGGTGATGTGGGAACTGGGGAGACGCTAAGTCTTGCTTTACCCATATTTGGATGAAAATGGCCTATTTAAATGATTTACCTCTCAGGTATTAACCTGGGCAAGGGAATTGCAAGAGTCTCAGGGTAGCCATGCAAGAAGAGTTACTTCACCTGACAACAGCTTTGGATTTCAAATGATAAAGGAGGTCAATTACCCATGAAAATATCTGTTTGGGGCTGAATTGTGCCCCCTCTCTCCCAATTCACTTGCTGAAGTCCTCACCCCCAGTATCTCAGAATATTATGTATTTGAAGATAGGGCCTTTAAAGAGGTAATCGAGTTAAAATGAGGGCATTAGGGTGGGCCATAATCCAATAAGACTGGTGTTCTTATAAGAAGAGATTGGCACAAACACAGAGAAAGGAACACATGAAGATACAGGGAGAAGGCTGCTGATTTTTTTTTTTTTTTTTTTTGGCACTACTGTTATCCCCATCTTAAAACAGTGTTGACACATACTAGGAGTTCAATAAACATTTATCCTTAAGCTAAATTAAAATGAATTAAACAAAAAATTGAATGGAAAAATCTACACGAGTTAATTTTTACCTCATGGAAAACTATGTTGCACCAAAAACTCCCTGGTCTTGGACTCCTCCATTGCTCATTAATATAACCGTCATCTTGTTTGTGGACAGGATGATGCAGCATGAGCAAGGTCCTCAGCCACACAGGTGTCTGAAGGTAAAGCTGAGAATCCCAGGAGCAGAGCAGAAGGAGCTGTGGAAGGGGCACAGAGCTGGAACTTGGGCCAAGTAAGGGGGCCTCACAGGGTTACTCCCAGTAGACTGGCATGTGGTCTGCTTTCTGCCACCATAGATACAATTTGCAGGTATGAGGGTGTGCAACCAACTGACCCAGGTGTTAGTCACAGGATGGGCACTTGGCAAAATAACTGACCTGGGTAAAAGGCCTTGAGTGTGAATTACAAAGAATTTCCCACAGAGAGAAAACAAGCCCCTGTAATCACATCACAGCGTTCAGCTCACTGATTCTGAATACAGCTACTGCTTACCCTTAGTCATCTGGAACACACGGCCCCTGGTCCCCATCGGTCCGAGTACTCTTGACTAGTCATGCCATGTGTGCCAATGAGATAGCTCTTAGGTTGAAAACATAATGATAGTAACCAGCCCCTTTCCCTAAATGAAATGCAGCTGGATTTCTTTGCCCATCTTTCAGCTCAGAGTCAAAATCAAAGTCTCTGGATGATAGACTTGGGGGGACTGGAAATAGGAAACAACATATCATTTCAAACTGTTTCAGAAGGCAGGGGGCTGGAAAGGTGTTGGACCTGGGAGGACAGGGGCTGGAGGGAAAGATCACAGAACCAGGCCCTAGTTCCAGTCCTGCCAGTGACGTGCTAAGTGATCCAAGGGAGTCATTTGTTCTCTGAGCTTCAGTTTCCTCATCTGCCAAACAGAGGTTTTAGCTATTTCCTCCTAGTCATCTCTAGAAAGCTGTTACTAAAACACGTTAGAAATGGTCAGGCCAATAGTTTAATGTTGGTAACACAATGTGAAATATCCTTATCAATAAATGAAATAATACTGCTCAGGGCTTACGGCTATGTCTGAATTTATTGCTGTGTCTGAATTTGGAGGCTCAGGTGGGGAAAGGTGTTACCAGATTGATAAAATTCATATTTGAGTCATCGTCCATGACATGTGCTAGCACCTAATGGATTCTAGGCTCTCTTTTTGATGCTTGGGGATCTAGAGTTCGTTCCTCATGAAACTTACACCTTGCAAAAACACACTCTAAATGTACAGAGTCATCAAGTAACTCAACAGTCAAGTAACTACAGGAATAGAAGGAAACCAAGAGATGAAGTGGTCAGCTCTGTAAAGAAAGTCAACATAGCCTGCCTCCTTAATCATGACTTACCATATTCAAGACTGTGTCCCTCAGAATCGTTACTGCTTCAATAGGAAGGAATAGAAAAGAAACTTGGAAAAATAAGACATTTTTGAGTGAGATAAAAAGCAGAAGGAAACCCACAGTTAATTTAACTCAAAGTACTGGGTTCAGTGAGTGTGAGCATAGTAGGTTCCTTTACTCAAGGCAAATGTCTGTTCAGAGTTAAAGCAGGAGCTGGAAAACCTTAAGGCAAACAGAAGTCAAATTTTCAGAGAGGTACAAACAAAGGTCATGATACAGAGGGAAAGGAGCAATTAACATGGGGTGGGGAGCAGACGGGAATCAGTGAAAAGTTTACCGATGAGATGGCATTTTAATGAAGCTTTGCAGGATTAGTATTTCAGCTGATAGAGGAGGAGAGAGACTGGAGAGCCATCTAGCCAAAACTCAGGCATGAAAATCCATTGGGTGTGGGGAAATGCAGTGGGGAATGAGGCTGGAAAGATAAGCTATGATGAGATGACACGGCCCGGTCTAGGATGACACACGTGAGGTGCCTGGGGTGCACAATTTAAGGAGGCATTCACTCTCAGGGTCGGACAAGCGGGGTTGGCACAGTGGCTTTGGTCATTAAGTAGAGGGTTGATGTCAAAATTTCCCACATGAGAGACTTCTGCTTCTGGTAAGATGGAGTAGATGTACCTTTCCTTACGCTTCCCACTAACTGCAACTAAAAACCCTGAACATATAAAACAAACATAAGACTCTGACAGATGGAGAGACGAAAACAGACAAGCTTAGTAACCTTGAGATCCAAGGAAACATGGTGGTGAGTCCCCTGGATTTTGTTTTTGCTTCATATTTCCAGACTTGGAGCCAAAGAAGCTGGCAACCTGGAAACACCAGTGGGTGCAGACAAAAAATCCCAACAAAAGCCTGCTGTTTCTAGCCAAAGGACCAGGAAACAGGCAGTCTAGAAAGAAGGAAATAACTGCTGTGTTCCAGCCAAATGCCACAGAAAAAACTGGTCTCACTTCTCCTCCCCTTTCTGTCCCCCACAGCAGAGACTACATGCAGAAACTAGACTTCCATTATCACCAGGCTCTAAAGAGGTGTCCCAACCCCCTCTCTCCAGGTTAGTGCCCGAGAAGCCTGAGTAGAGCTGAGACCTGCATCCCTTCCCAGCCCCTGTGGTGTCAGTGGAGACCTTGGGAAGTCTGGACTTCCGCCCTCATCTGGTGGAGATGAGGCACTGTTCCACCTAACCGATGCAGTGATACCAGAAGAAGCCTAGTGGAAATTCAAGACTTTATCTCCCAGCAGTAATAAAGCCACCTCCAATGTGGTGTCATTGGAGACCAAAGCACGAGGGGTTTTTTCTTCAGTCTTTACCATAAGAACCTAATTGAGTTCCTAGAGGTAACAATCATGAAAGTGTGCCCCCCACCACCAAAAACAAAACAAAACAAAACTGAGCCTCCAGGAGGTTTTTGGTTTTGTTTTGTTGTTTTTGTTTTGTTTTGTTTGTTTTCTCTCTTAAGCTAGTCCTCATTCAGTAATTCATCAATTACTATTTAATTGTTCCTACCCATTGCTGGCTCCAGCAGTGACTTCTTCTCCTGGTGTACTGTATGCCATGATTCTCTGTATTCCCCTGTCTCTTAACTTTTGGGGGTGGCTATTTTCCATGTGACTTCAATTCTCTTGTTAACTTAAGAAGACTTGTTGATTTTCAATTTGTTCCAATTTTTTTTTCTTGTTTTGAGGATGACAGTTCCCGAGCTGTTTACATTTTGGAATGGAAATTGGAAGGTCCATGATTATTTTTATTTATTTTTTCTTTCGGTTCCTTAGACTGGATAATCTCAATTGACCTGTCTTCACTTTCTTCTCCCTGTTCAAATCTGTTGTTAAGCCCCTCCAGTGATTTGTTTTTTCAGTTATTGTACTTTCCAACTCCAGAATTTCCATTTGGTTCTTTTAAAAAATAATTTCTGTCTCTATTGATATTCTCTATTGGAGACATTATTCTCATACTTTCCTTTAGTTCTTTAGAAGTGGTTTACTTTGGGGTTTTCCCTGGTTGTCCAGTGGTTAAGATTCCGCGCCCCCCATGCAGGGCTCCCGGGTTCGATCGCTGGTCAGGGAATTAGATCCCGCATGCCTCAACTAAGAGCCCACATGCTACAACTAAAAGATCCTACATGTGGCAATGAAGATCCCGTGTGCTGCAACTAAGACCCAGTGCAGCCAAATAAATAAATTAATTAATATTAAAATAAAAAGAAGTTTTACTTTGGTTTACTTTGGACATGTTTAAAATAGCTGATTTAAAGTCTTTGTCTAGTAGAGCCAACGTCTGGGCTTCTTCAGGGAAAGTTTTTTTTTTAAATTTTTATTGGAGTATAGTTGGTACACAGTGTTGTGTTTCAGGTGTACAGCAAAGTGAATCAGTTAGACATATACATATATCCACTCTTTTTTCTTTTCTTTTCTTTTTTTTTTTTAGATTTCTTTTCCCATATAGGCCATTACAGAGTATTGAGTACAGTTCCCTGTGCTATACCACAGGTTCTTATTAGTTGTCTATTTTATATAAGGTAGTGTGTATATATCAGTCCCAATCTCCCAATTTATCCCCCTTCCCCAGGGAAAGTTTTTATTGATTGCTTCCCTCCTCCCCCTTTTTATGGGCCATACTTTCTTGTTCCTTTGCATATCTTACATTCTTTTGTTGAGAACTGCACCTTTAAAATAATATAGATAATAAAGAGTTCCCTGGTGGCCTAGTGGTTAGGATTCCAGGCTTTCACTATCATAGCCTGGGTTCAGTCCCTGGTTGGGGAAGTGAGATCCTGCAAGCCACACACCACGGCCAAAAAAAAGCAAGAAAAAATAATATAACATGGCAACTCTAGAAATCAGGTTCTCCCCATTCTCCAAGGTTTGTTGTTGTTGTTTGTTTAGTGACTTTTCTTAACTAATTCATTGTAAAGTCTGTATTCTTTATTGTGTGTGGACACTGAAGTCTCTACTGATTAGCTTAGTAGTCAGCTAATGATTGGCTACTAAGCATTTAAGATTACCTTAAATGCCTGGAACCAGTATACCTCCCAGTCTTTCATGAGGGGCTCTGTGTGCCTACTGGGGCATGTCTTCAACAGTATCAGCCAAGCAGTTGAAAACTCTGCCTTCGCCTTCACTTCCTGCTTGGGAAAAGCTTCAAGGTCAGCCGGGGTTGAATGCATAGGGCCGTCTCATGTCTTTCTTGAGCATGCTCACAACCCTGCATGCACACGGCTCTATACATGTGCGTGGACTTCTAGACGCCTACGGATATGTCAGAGCTGTTCAGAACCCCTATGGACATCTAATTTACCAGCTTTTCCTTTAAGCTTTTTGGCTAGTCTGTCAGTTGCCCCAAATAATCCAATGCCTCAGAGAGCCAGGAAGTTAAAACATTTTGTCAAAAGTTTTGCCAAAAGTTCTGTGAGGAGAAGACTTTTTTTGCACTGAGTGGACTCCAAGTTAGGTCAAATGCAGATAGCTTTGAAAGCAAGTGACGTCTTCCAGAAAACCAGCAGATGAGTCAGCTAATGACAGTTCTTTGGGAATGAGACTCTGAAAGGGCTCTACCTCTATTCTGCTCCCTCTCGTGGCTGCGTTGGAATCTAGGCTGTTGAAAATAAGGCTACCATGGAGCTGGAGAGTGAATGATGGAACAGTGCCACAAAGCATGCTGTTCAATACTGAGATTCAGTTGTTCTTAAATAAATGTTTCCTGAGCTGCTGAAAGCTTATAGTTAGTATCCAGAGTCAGAAAAACCTGATTCTGACAATTTCTTTTTTTGCCAGATTTTTCATTGCTTTTACAGAGGAGAGAATTTTCAGAGATCTTATGCCACCATTTTGGGTTATATCTCCCCTGCAGTTTGTAACCTCACCCAGGGTTTGGCCAGAGCAGCAAGGAATAACCCTTTGTAGTTAAAGTAATTCCCTCATTTAATGGAACCAGCTTTGCTGGTGTGAGTACCTTGAAATCACAGAAACCCGATTTAAAACAGATATCCTCTTCAAATTGCTATTTGAAATCTTTTTGTCTTAACTATAAATTATGATAATATTCTGAAGTCAATGAACCTATATCCAAATCCTGTTCAAAGCTACAAGTATTTACTATTTCACTGTGTTACTAAAACATAAAGTCTAACCAGCCTTCTATGACTGTACTTTTAGATATGAGTATTTTTAGATATTAGCCTCCCCACATCACTGTCTTTTTATTTTGTTGAAATCCCAAATTTGCTTTTTTTCCCCCCCCAAATTTGCTCTTGATTAGCAGTCAAACCTTACATGGTCCTCTGAGAGAAACAAAATCTGAAAAGGTGAGATTGAAATTAAATGATTTAAAATAGTATTTGGGCATTCGCGTTCCCATTGGTGCTAAAATATATCTGAACATGGAATGGAATTCGGAACTCCATGAGAGAGCTGGTGTCCAAAGCGTTGACGTCACACAGCCTGAGGCCTGATAGGCGTACAAGTTGGAGCTGGACAGTGGTTGTCCATTCTGGTCGCACTGGTGGAGACTGTGCTTCTAACAGCGAGCTCTTCAAACTTACATCTCAGTTACTCCCAACAAGGATAATTAGAATTTTCTTTCTCAGATTAAGGGTTTGAGAAATTCCTGATAAGATGTACTGTTCCCTAAAGTTGATTTTAATTGTAATTTTTTTAAACTGTCAGCATTTATCCAGCTCTGGCGACTTAGATACTCGTAAGTATGCTTTGGCAGTTGGATTGTTTATTCCTCTCTTCTGGCTCACTTTCCCCCAGTTTCAGGGAGTCAGATTAAACAGATTGCTTATTCCACACAAATGGGGCTTCCTGGAAAGATTTAGCGTTTAGGAGGAAAAATGGCAGTAGTCAGAGGGAGAATTGAAAGCTTCCTTTTCCTGAAACACATATCACAAAATAGATTAGTGTATTCTTAGTATTTTTGAACATAACATTTAAAAAAAGTCATTCCCTTAATAATTGCCGTAGAAGATGTTTAAGCCTGAGGTACAGGGAAGGGTTTAATTCTGACTCTGAAAGGGAACTTATTTCAGGAGGCCCAGGTGTTTGGGAATAAAACCATTTGCTCGAGTGCAGGCTGGTTATTTACAGCTGCACTTTACTGCACGTGAAAGAGAGAAGAAGATTCTGCCCACTTTCTTTCCTTCCTTCTCTCTGGACTTTGCATTTCAGTCCCATCTCATTTAGAAATGAACCCTTTCCCCCGTCTCTGGGCCAGCTTAGGGTCCTGGGCCCCCGCTAGGAAGACTCATTTGTGTTTTACACGCATAAGGATCTGTGGTTTGGGTTCATTCTTCCTCCACTGAAGGAAGCATATTGAGGTTGCTCGGTGGCTGTGGGGAGGGAAGCCACATTCACTGCTTGCCTGCACTTCTCTGCCTAGGTGAAGCTTCCCAAGTTAACACGGTAATTATGTTCTGCATTGGTGGCGGTATCCTTTTGGCTGTGCTTGTGCTGATGGCTGCTGTCATCTGTCTTTACTACAAAGTAGCCAACGCATTGAAGTGAGTGATGTGGGTAAGAGTGGCTAACGCTCCCCCAGATGGGATCCTGGGGCTCTGTGCTTGAGTAGGGTCATTCCTTGCCCCATGGCCGCACCCCGGGTGAGGTCAGGAACAGCGGGAGGGTTTGAGACGACAAAGGCAGTGCGTGTAGAATCTTGGTTTCTTCGCCTTCCTGTTTGGGGCTCTGAGCTCATAAGTAGAATGTTCTCAGCCAGGTGGCTCTGTGCTGCTTTGCTGTTACTTGGCCTCGTTGAGTTTACCCTCAGCTGGCTAATTCCACACACTGCAGACTGAAGACTGTGTGAATGAGTCTCTCTGCCTGTGTTCGCTCAGAGGACGGGCTGAGTTGATCTTCTCTTGCCTGAGTTGGGGAGCTCTCAGTGTGTCCTTGGCCTTGGGGACAGTGAGGTGGGCCTATAGGACTTTGGGGAAGCTGAGTTGTGTGAAGATCCTGGGGTTTGCCTAACAAGGGAGTGTAGATCAGAAAAGTGAGCATTCGATTTTGGGGAAAGGAACCTTCAAATATGGGAGAGATTGGTTGCCAGAAGCAGTGGTGTTCCCATTCATTAACGTTCCAAGGAGGCAGCATAAGTTGTTGAACAGAGTCCTGCATCAAGCTTTCAATGACCTGCCTTTTATTTACAGCTCCTCCTCTGCTTGTATGTGTTTGATCAAGGCACTGTGTTTCTCCATGTCTCAGATTCCTTATCTAATAATGGAGAGAAAAAACAAGCAAAAAAGCAGTGGTTTTCCCATTCTAGGGAAGTTAGGCCTGTGTGCTGGAAGGTGAATCCCAGCACCCAGGGGACGGCTGACTTTGGCACCTGTCATGCTCTGCACTTGGAGGACTTGCAGTGATCATCTCGTGACCCACACTTGCAATTCACTCTCCCTTATTTGCTGTACCCTGATTTTACATTTCTGGCAATCTTAGGAGAGAAAGGGATTAGACAGGAACTTGGGACGGGGGCAGAGCACTTTAGTCTTGGGCTGGTATCATGTGTTTCATTGGCTCCAGTCCTAAGCTTCTGAGATACCTCTGACAAGTTGTAACAAATGGACTGAGAAGAAAAATTCTAATCCTATGCTCTGTGTATGTCTTTTCTTAAGAGTTCCAAAGGTACCTATTTCTTCAGCCTTAAAAGATGATCCAAACATGGTCACCCAGGACAAGGTCACTGCGGCCATCACCACTGGGTCTTATCCCAGCCTCCAGTGCTGTGATGAATGTAACTTGTATGCTGGCTTTGATGCCCTGCCACCGTGCTTCTGTGATGCAAACGAGGGACTCTGACTTGGGTGGGCACAAATATCCTTGTGAGCGATATTTCTTTATTAGTAGAATGTTTTATTATTCAAGTCAAGTTTTATACTGTTTACATTATATCATGTACTATGTAACATATTTATGTACTTTTGAATAACTGAAATATTGAAAATAATCCTCTCTGCCTCCAGTATTGTTGTTGTTAGTTATAAAAGTACTTAAATTTGTGTAGTACCCACTTTGGGACTTGGGGCAACTAGCTTATAAAGTTATACTGCAATGTAAGGAGAGTTAGAGTAGAAAATACACCTATATATCCAACCCCAGAAAAAAAATATTGACCTTAGAGTGTTTCTAGTTTCAGACCCTGCTAAACTTCCCACGGTCGGCCCTCCTCCTTCTAAGGGCTTCATTCACTCTCATCCAGCTACTCTACCATGGGCAGTTGTTACACTGCCCTGGAGGGAAACTCCATTCATCCCAGAGGGAGAACAGCCAGATGGGCTACCTCTGGGTTGAGGTTGCCTGATATGTGCAATCATGGGGTTGAGCTCTGTGGTGTCAAAAGGACATTTTAAAAACCTGAGATTCCTCCTCCTGCTATCCTCCAAATCTTCAGAAGCAGATTTTTTTCTTCTTTTTGGATCACTTTAACACTGATTATTGCTGACTCAGCTGTCAGTGTCTTTAACTGCAAACAGGAACCTCCCGCTGAATGGTGAAGCCCAGATCCTCCTGGTCTCAGCAGTAGGCAGGAGGGTGCACCCCTTGTCACTCCTGCTCGTCTGCTCCCTTCTGTTCCTGCTTTTTCCTCTGAACCTCTGGAACCCCCTTCTAACCATAGACTCTCCATTTGTAACCACAATTTGTTCTTTTTTTAAAAAAAAAAAACATTTGAAATGTTGATAGCACATATTTAATTTATTTTTATTTATTTATTTATTGGCTGCATTGGGTCTTCATTGCTGCGCGTGGGCTTTCTCTAGTTGCGGCGAGCAGGGGCTACTTTTTGTTGCAGTGCACAGGCTTCTCATTGCGGTGGCTTCTCTTGTTGCAGAGCACGGGCTCTAGGCGCACGGGCTTCAGTAGTTGTGGCACGAGGGCTCAGTAGTTGTGGCTCGCGGGCTCTAGAGTGCAGGCTCAGTAGTTGTAGTGCACGGACTTAGTTGCTCCGCGGCATGTGGGATCTTCCCAGACCAGAGCTCGAACCCGTGTCCCCTGCCTTGGCAGGCAGATTCTTAACCACTGCGCCACCAGGGAAGTCCCCGCAATTCATTCTTTCATTAACAAAACCCTTGCTTAGTGAGCATCATGTGTTTTACTCAAGGTAAAGAATTGACTCGTAACAGGTGGTTGGTTACCTGCTAAAAGGGATGGAAAAGGTAACAGGAAATAATGAAGGAAACGGCTACTATCTCTAGGCTAACAGGGAGGTAACAATGGTAGGACTAAGCATTTGGAAGAGGCCACCTCCTGGCTGAGTTTCAGTGCTCAGCAGAGGGCTTGGCTGATGAGGGAGTGTTCAGCGCTTTAGTGCTCGTGAAATTTGCCAGAGGGATGTGGGAGCTGGAGCTGCTGTCACACAGTAGCCCTTGGAATGTCTGGGAAACTCGATGGAGGGTGAGTGTCCCCAATCTCAGTAAGAGTTTCAAGAGGCAAATTCAAGGCTGCACCTTCCCTGGAACCTGCCTTCCAGCCGGACGTGACGCGTCCTTCTTGAGTTCCTGGAGCACTTCCTCCCTCTCCTGGCACCTACTGCTTTCTGCCCCTTCTTAGGAGTTCAAATGCAGTTCTATTTTCTCTTGTCGCCAGCAAGCCCCTGAGCACGTCCAATTTCCCTCTGAACCCCACCCAGTGGGCAGCTCAGTGCCCAGCATCTGGGAGGCCCTGCACAAGTGTGTTCCAAATGTGGGGAATATGCCATAAGTCCAGGCATCGCAGGGTCCTTGAGGGAGGCAAGATGGAGTAAGGGGTCTTTGAGACAAACCCCTCTGGTTGGCAGTACGGACAGAGTGTAACACAGGGGCTTTAGAACTGGACACAGTTGGTTCCAATCCAACTCTGCCTTTCACAAGCTAGTGCCACTGGAGAAGTTTCTTAACTTCTCTGAGCCTGGTGGCTGGGGGCTGCCAAACAGGCAGCCACATTCCTGATGCCCAGAGGCCCTCTCTTTACTCCTGTGTATGCGTATACAGTATGCTGGGGATACACCATGGATACAACAGCATCTCTGCCCTCAGCGAACAAGTTCTTAGGGGCCTGATTGAATTCCAGCTCCAAATCAAAACAGATTTCCCCCGTTTTCTTCTTAATATTTCCATGTAGATCTTCCAAATACTTGCCCCAGTGGCCATGCGGGTGAATCTCCTCTGCATTCGTTCATATAACGAATAAGATCTTTTCTAACCCAATGTGAAAACACTTAAGAACTTACTTAGAATGGGCAAATCAAATTAAGTATTTAAAAACAGCGCTGAAAAATTATCTGGTCACTGGCCCATCAGTCATCCCTCTGTCAGGAACTGACTAAACATCCACTGGTGGCCATGCGAGGGGCGTATTCAGAGGTGCGTCAGGTGCCATAGTGTAATACGAAGAAAACTGTCAAATACTGTGACTCACTAGAGAGTGTCAAATCATATAACCAGGAATAAAAAAAACTTTGTAGTGCAGCTATTGAGCTATACGATGCACTATCAGCATATAATAATATATAATATCAATGTTGTTTTTTCTTTAGTCTTAGCAGACTCAAAGGGGTGCCTTAGACCTGATGGGTGGAGCTGGAAGTCCAAGCTCCCCACCTGGCCTCCACCTGACTTGGGGGTGCAGGGTGGCCCTCCTTGCTGCCTGGAGGTGATGAAAGTCCCAGCTCTTCACTCTGCCTTTTCTGACATCACCCTGGGGAAGGGAAGGGAGGGGAAGACAGGGGATGAGATGGGTGTGGGGCACGGAGAGCAGGTGGAAGTCTAGGCTCCCTACTTCACCTTTGCTGCCTGGGCTGGGGGTGGGGCATAGTTTTACCTATGGTGTTTAGAGCAGGTAGGTTATTGCCTAAAAGTTTTCTGAATTGGCTGGCTGCCCCTTTGCTGCTGGTCCTTTGGCTAGAGGGAGCAGGCTTCTCTTGGGCTGTTTTTTCCTGCACCCATTGGAGTTTCCGGGTTGCACGCTTTTCCCTGTTAAGTGCACTTTGATCCATGGGGCATAAGATGCTGAACAGCGGCCTTGGTTTGCAAACTTCATGATTCCTAAGAATCACCTGGGTGCTTTTGGAAAGGGCAGCTTCCTGGCTCCCATCCACTGAACTACACCCAGAGTACCTGAAATGGAAGTTCATTGGACCCTTATTTATTTATTCTTAAAAATTCAGTCCATTCATTGTCAACACTTTTCACATTAGGGATTTGCTAAAAGCCATAAGATGCTAATTTTGGAAACTGTTACCCTCCCACTTTCTCAACAAGATTTGGATAGGTACCAGTTAATGGGCAGATGAACTTTTCAAAGTGGAAACTCTAGCAGCTCTTGGTTACTTGGAAAAATTCCTTTTTTCATCTGAAGCACTTGCATGAAATAGATGCCAGATGCTAAAATCATTGTTTCGTGTGATTGAGAAGCTACTCATGAGAGATAATTAACTTTTGATACAAAGATTGCCATCTTCATCAAATTGACCATTAATTACATATCATCAACTTCGACTATGTATCAGCAGGAAACTTACTTTTACCAAGACAGTTGTTGGTGAAGGGCATGTTTGTAATCAAACTGACATGTCTCCCTTTAGAGGCAGTGTCCCTCCTTGGGTCACTTGTCAGATTTTCACCTCTCAGGAATTTGGGGTTCACTCCCAGGCCCCACCAAACCCTGCCTCCTCCCTGGGGGACTTGACAATACTGTATTCTCATCTCACACATGCTATTTATTGACAAAGATGGGAACGATACCCTGGACTTGAGGGCTCATATTTTAAATATTGTTACTGAATATTTCTAAAAAATTTTTATTGGAGTATAGTTGCTTTACAATGTTGTGTTAGTTTCTACTGTACAGCAAAGTGAATCAGCTTTATGTATACATATGTCCCTTCTTTTTTGGATTGCCTTCCCATTTAGATCACCACAGAGCACTGAGTAGAGTTCCCTGTGCCATACAGTAGGTTCTCATTAGTTATCTATTTTATACATAGTATCAATAGTGTATATATGTCAATCCCAATCTCCCAGTTCATCCCCCCCCCAGCCCCCTTCCTCTTTGATATCCATACGTTTGTTCTCTACGTCTGTGTCTCTATTTCTCCTTTGTAAATAAGATCGTCTATACCAGTTTTTTCGGATTCCACATATATGCATTAATGTAGTTACTGATTATTTATTGAAAAACAACAACAAAAAAATCTGGCTGTGTCCAAGTCTGTTTCTTTAAAGACAACTTTGAGGGTACTGAGCCTAGTGCAGGCCTCTTTCTGTTAAGGTATAAAAAGATTAGATTAAGTGGGTGCTGCCCTTCTTTTCTGGGAGCGTGTGGGAATATGCTAATCTTTCTTTGCGTGCTTTTCAGGTTTCCTGTAATGTTTTGAAGATCTGGGAAACAGACTAAGTGCGTGGTAGCTCACAGAGCAGTCCTGAGGGGTTGTCGTGATTGTCGTTAAGTGTCTCATTTGCAAGCTTAACCCAAACTCAACAAAGCCAAGGCCCAATTTGTTCCCTTTCAAACAGACAAATAAAGCTTGTTTTGAGTAAATGACATCTGATTCAACTGACCAATTATTGTAGTTTAAAGAAAAAACAAAAAAAACCCAGCGACTTTCTGACAGACACTTAGTTTATTCTTCACAAGACCCTTGACAAGATCTGAAAATAAATTCTCACAGCATCAGAGGGACAGAAACAAAAAGATACACCTACTAGCATCTAAACATTAAGGAGTCAAAGATATCTTTAAGTTGGCAATGTGGTATCAAGAGATAACTTTTCTTTATAATATGTTGCACTGTTTAAGACAATGATCAAGTTCTTGATAGTGAAGAATTATAAAATGCAAGACTTCTAGCTGCAAAGAGAGCAACTGCCTTAGAAGTTGAATAATCAGAGAAGAAGACTTACTTAGCAACAAACCTCAGAGAGAACCTCTTTAGCTATTTCTTTTACCTGTCTCTACATGGACAACCTCAGATTTGTCAAACTTTATTTTGCTGAGCAGGAATAGAATTTACTTCTAATTTCTAACAGATTGACGTGAAACTTGGAGAAATCACACAAGGGTCTTTCTTCGATCAGTTCCTTTGTGGATCTCCAGTGGCCCCACCATTTGGAAATATTCAGTGTGCTCTACTGTGGCCTCCATGGGGCCTGTGCCCCCTCTTACTCTGCCCTGCACAGCCCTGGGAGCAGTGGGAGGCGTGGTCCCGCACTTTGTACACGGCAACTTTACACTGCAGATCGATCACATCATAGCTGGTGAGAAAGCTGAAGACGTTGAACTTGAACTGGGCTATGTTCTTCTGTCGGGAGTGGAGGTTGACATTTGTATTGTCTTTGATGCACCTGATGACAAGAAAAACCCCAGGCCAAGAGGATTAACTTAAAGCATGGTGTGAATTAATTCTGGCTCAAATAATCAGGCTTGGACACAGACCTTTGAATTTCAACTGGAGTTCTCCCCACAACCCACTCTTCCTTTCGTTTATTAAAAAACTTTATAATACTACTTTATAATACTACTGGGGAAAAACCACCATTCCTGGCCAAACCACCATTCTTGGCCAGAAACAGAAGGGAACTGTAAAATAAAATAAAAACAAGACAAAGTAATTAAATTATAGCTAGAGCTGTTTCCTGCTCTACTTTTTTCAAAAGGGGAGATTGAAGGTGGTGGCTGCATTATTTGAAGGTGAACTTCAATTA